GGGGCTGCCACATCACCGGGCTGTGGAGAGCAAACTGTGCCATGTTGGCTGCCCACACGCCGCTGCCTGCTGCCCCGACCAGGGCAGGGCTCTGGCACAAAACCCACAGCAGCCCACTAGCACAGCCCTGCTGGGAACGGGGAGGAAAACACCCAGTGGGAAGTGGTGGTCCCATTTCTGGAAGTTCTCCGTTGGCCCTATTGATCATGGGGTGCCGCTCAGGAAGCCATTCCCACAGATGAGCAGCGTGTCTGAGGACAAATTAATGACGATTTAAGCATCTATTTACCTGCTGAGTTGGCTCAGACCTTGATCTGTTTCAGCAAAAGCAGAATTTCTTAGATTCTCTTTTCCAGACATTGGCTAAGTAAGCGCTCTGATTGCACCTGTAGTTCAGCAGAGATGCAATCTCTTGCCCCTCAGTCACTGTGCCTTGCTCAAATCAAACAACATAACTCAGTTTATTTTATGTTGTGCATCCTATTGTTTGCCTGAATGCTGCTGAGAGAGTGCTGCCATGGTAGTCAGGGCATCCTCAAGTGATACAAGAGCCTCCAGGCAAGAGGCAAAGCGTGCAAGGCTTTGAATCTCATTCAGGCATTGATAATTACCAGTCTAGATAGCTAAGCCATTACGAAGATGCAATACAGTCAGCTCTTACATCATGCCCATTTAGGGGAGAAAAATTCAGCGATGAAGAGATGCTACGATTGACAGATCCAAGGAAAACCAGCTAGGTTATTTTTCACAGCAAGAGATAGATAACTACATGGATTAGCAGAAGATCAAGGGAGTACAAAGAGACCCACTTCTTTGGAGTGAGGTCTTTGATTCCTCCAGAAAAAGATTATGCAGCCATTTAAAGAAAGAAAGGAAGGAAAAAAAAACAAACCACAAAAAACCAACCAAAAAACCCAACCTAAGAAATATTAAAGATGGACTCAACACAAGATTGAGAGATTTCCAAGAGACTTCTACTTCACCCATAGCCACTAGACGTGACAGTGGGGTCCCAGAACAGCTTTCCTATCAAAGGGATGATGGGCAGGTACAACTCCAAGGTTTGCTTGCTGTTTCTGAGGAAACCAGCAGTCAGTCTGTACCAGTATACTTGGGCAAACATCTCAAGAAATTACTGAAAATTTCTATCTATCCATCTTGCACTGTAAAACAGCCCTGGGGATGGGATTTAATCCGTGGCTTGGCTTGTACCCCAGAATTTGCCAACAGAGCAGATTTCATTTCAGAATCACAGCAAGAGCCATAGCTTAATATTTCTCATTGAAGATATCCGTGTTAGTGTTGTTGCTATGGTTATTTCATAAAAACCCAGGATATAATATGTACATTGAAAGAAAACACAGTAAGAAATATCTCTTTAGAAACTGTGGGAGTTTTGGTGCACAGTGCGTCGTACAGCAGCCTATGGAAAGGCACACTGAGAACAACAGGCTGTTCACGGCACTGTGCACAGGGCCAGCAGTCCATGCCAGCACTGCTGCTTGGATGTCAGGTCCCACACAGCTCCCTTAGCTGTTACAGAGAGCTTTTGGGGGCGGTGAGGTGCGATTTTCCACCTTCTGTTGTTTCTTTGTGAAATGTTTGTTTTGTGAGTGGTATTCAAAGAGCCCTGGAAAGTTTTGTCCAGGGCAATAGAACATAGCAAAGAATATGCTCATCCAGGATGAAATTTTAGGTGAGTGTTTTTGTTAAAAGCTGCATGGGTTTTTTGGGTGACACCAGTGGTGTTTTTCGTGAGAATCTATCTGAATGAGTTGAATAACTGTGAACGGCAAACAAGCCCATGAAACACAGCTAATCAAGCTCTGCGGCTGCCTTATTAACTGATGGAGGCTGCTATCACAGTTCACTTAGCGCTGCTGCTATGGCACGAGAGATGGGTACTCTTTTTTCACTTATTACTTGGCATGAATCCTGTTACCTACTGGCAAATAGTGAGTTTAAACCTTGTTTTCTGAAGGGGCCCTGTGAGAGCATGTCAGGGAAGTTCAATAGCCCAGATCAAGCCCTCCAGATCCAGAGCAAGCACCAAGTGGGGGTCTCAGGCTGTCCCCTTCTGCCCCCAGGCCAGGCCCTGGGTGACTCCACGCTTTACCCAACATTTGCTGAACTCTCTTTTCTGCTGATTTTTCATCCCTGTCCTGAACTCTGAGGAGTGGGGGGCTTCTTCCAGGTAGTCTTTTTAAAGTAGGACCTCCCAGGACTGTTTTCCTTCCTGTGCCCATATGACACCGCGTCTCACAGGCTTTTCGTGGCCATCTCCTGGTTTGCCCAGAGGCTGCCATCACTCACGTTTCCACTCTCGAAGGAAAGTTTCCAGTTGCTGGGAGAAGCCTGTCCACTGTGCCTTATAACCATTTCATTTACATCCTCAGCTCATGCTCAAACCTTGTGCAACAGCAATCAAAGGATGAAGGATGTTGGGGTTGCAACTTTTGGGAAAAAGTCTCTTAAACTTCTGAAGATAAGTTGAGCGGAAATGGGCTGCTGCATTTCTGTAGTGGAAACTGAAAGCTCCATACTGACATCCACCTTTCCACAGGGAAGAAATAATATTTTAATCAAGTGAAATATGTGGTAGTTTCAGGGCCATTCACTAAGAGCTGATGAAAAGTGAGGAACAGTAAAAAGGCAAATGACAGCTTCTCTTAATAATTAAATGATGTGATGCTCATTAATTAGAGATGCTTTTAACATTTTGAAAAACTCACAATGATGTTTTTTAACTGAAAATGGACCCTGCTCTCTACAGAGAGAAGGCAGTGCCTGCACCCAGTGGCAAGCTGCCTTAAATTCCCACGTTCAAATAATTGTTAGTTTCCAAGTGAAACGCCTCAGGGATTTTGTATGCATCCATTTCTGCTGCTGCTCATGATGCTCTGCTGTCTTCTCCTCGTGCAGATGTTGCAATGTACACCTGAGATGCAGGGACGTGGCTGAGTTGGGTCAAGTGGCCTGGAAGTGGGGACCTCCCCTTCTTGCTGTCCTGCTCCTTCTCACTGCACAAATGGGGAAAAAAATCAATCCTTAGTTTCCATTCTTTGGTCTGTCTTATCCTCCCCCTGGAAGGTGGTGGGAGCACATCCTTGTCAGCAACCCAGGTCCCCCCCCACCTCCTTCCCAGGCAGAAGCTCAGTCCAGGCTATCGCCAGGGTAGACCAGGAACATCCCTGACCCTCAGCAGCCATGACTCCCTTTAAACTACTGAAAACCAGCACCTGGTTTTCATCAACTAGACAAACCCAGAGTCCTCAGCTGCTCCTCACAGGACATGCCTTCCAGCACTGCCACCAGCTTGGTTGCCCTCCTCTGGACATGTTCAAGCAGCTTCACATCTTCCTTAAATGGTGGGGCCCAGAACTGCACACAGTACTCATGGTTAGGCCACACCAACATTGAATACTTTTTATCCAAAGCAGTTTGTTTGGGGTTTTTTTTTTTTTGCTATGAGTACAGTGTTTCCCTCTGAATTTCAGGTCTGAGGACAAGAGAGTAACCACCCTGGTGCGTCCGTACCAGAGCCCCTCTGTCACTGTCACAGCACGTACCAGTCGCCAGCACCGAGTTTGGAAGGATTACCCAGGAACTGTCGGGGCTCAAAACACATATAGCTTTTTTTCCAGCAAAGGACTGAGGACAACTCGACCCAAGGTCTGGATGGATAAGTAAGTCATAAATATTTTCCTGTCTTTTGTCTGTCCTCTCCAAGTAAGAGAAGTCCCTTGCTCAAGCTCAACCAGGGAAGCTGGGAGAAGAAGTCTGGCCTCACTGGTCTTGGTGCAGTTTTTAAGAGGGGTGGTATGATGGAGAAAGGGATGTCGCTGGCCAGGCCAGGAGATCCTTCTAGTTCCTGCTCCCCAGTGCCCAGGCACTGCTCCACACTGCTTGTGAAATCATGTAGCAATTCTGCCTTCTTTCTGCCTTTAATGTCTCTTTCCCCGTCTTTTTCTTTTTTTTCTTCGTCTCTCATGTACTAAATCTTTCCTTTGTTCTGTATCCTTTTTTTCACGTGCCTCCCAAGCATAGCTAAATTAAACTGTATTTTTCAAGGACTGTAAACAAAATCTTCCCTCTTAGTCTGAGTCAATTTCGTTGTTTAAATGAAACTCTTTTACAGCAATTAGTAGTTATGGAGAATGATTTCATTCTTCAGTTAGTGAATGCTACAGCCCTGATGAAATATTTCATGGCCTTTTGTTTAGTGCCAGTGTAGGTTTATTTCCTGAATTAATATATTAGTAATAAAAACAAAAAGAAATTCTCAATGGACTAAATTTGTCCACCTGAGTGCCGACTAAGGCTGCTGCTGCCGCCGATGCCCGGCGTGCATTCCCACTCCCCTCGCAGCTGGGGGCTGCATTCCAGCTGCTGGCTCTGCAGCTCCAGAAGTGGCAGAGGGAAGGGTGGGACAGAGCCAGGGCAGAAGGAGCGAGGGGAGGAAGAGCAGCACCATCTGAAGGGGAAACTGCTATTGACTGACCCTTACCTCTGCTGGGAGGCTTTGGGGTAAATTATCTGCTCAAACTCCATGTGGATGGAGTCAACCTGGATGGCCAAGTCCTTCTTCAAACACATGTCAGAACAGGTCCATTTCTGTTGCTCTGCGAAGTCCCCGTGTTGTGGCATGTGTTACGAGCGCTGAGACAGGCCAGCGACTCGGGACAGCATGAGCAATGACAGAAACCTGGGTCCCACTCCCTCTGCTAGTAATAAGATGGGAAAGCCTCAAAAGCAGCAAATCACCCTGTCTGTGGACCTCCATGTCCCCTGCACGTATGCCTGCTCCTTGGAGCAGCTGCAGCTGTGGGCTCACGGGAAGGGTGTTTGAGGGGCTCTGCTCCCACTGCACCGAGTAAAGGGTGATACAAGTCAAAAGTCGGTGGTAAAACACCAGAGCAGCAACGTTGGTTCCTGAGGAGAAACGGGGAGATGCCCTTTGGTGTCCACTGAATCCAGCTAACTCACCTCAGCCCTGCAGCTCACAGGTCTGTGTCGACCGTCTGGATGTTCACGGTGGAGCAAATGGTCTGCGAGGCGGGTCCCTTCCTGTACCTGGCCTGCTCCGTCCATGCCTCACGGCAGGACGTGACCACAGGCGGCAGCACGTTGTCCGGAGCCTGAGGCACCTTCTGGCACATGCAGAGCAGCGACTTGAGCTCCGAACGGAAGCTCTCGTTCAGCCAGCAGTAGATGAAAGGGTTGTAGCAGGTGCTGCTCATGGCGAACCAGTGCAGGGCGAAATAGAGGGAGTTCTTCGTCTTGATGCCTAGACTGGAGATGAGCACCACGTAGCAGTTGAGAGGGAACCAGCAGACAGCAAAGACCACCACCACCAGCATCAGCATCTTGATGCTCTTCTTCTTGTTCTTGTGGTGGGTAATATACTGCTGCATGGTGATGTCTCCAATGGCATTGCGGAGCCACAGCTTCTTGGCCAGGCGCGTGTAGGTGACAGTGATGATTAGCAGAGGCAGGAGGTAAAGAAGGAGAAAGGTAGACAGGTCCAGATACTTCCAGACCAGCTCTGCAGGCTCAGGAAAATCAGGGAGGCACAAACTTCGGACAGTGGCTTCCCTTGAAAAACAAAGAAATACATATATAGTGTGTGGCCATCGCTGCGCGAATGGAAGCTGCTAATTTGGCAAACCACAGCGGGGCTTCCACACCACCCACAACCACCTCAGATTTGTAGTTTGGACAGAGGAGAGCCAGGTATTGCTCATCTCAACAAGACAAAGTTCAGTCAAACCTCTGTTTCCCAGAAGGTCTTCTCATGATGTTCTCTGTGTCTGTCTCACCAAAGATAAGCCAGGCTACTGTGTGGTGTTATCTCCTTTCCCCTTAAATAGCTGTGCTGTCTGATAGAAGACATTCTTAGAGAGACAAACCGGAGTTTCCTCTTAGGAGCTGCAGTTGATTTTAAGTGAATGAGTCCCTTGTGTCCCCTTAACATGGCAAAAGTCACCCCAATGGCCTATTCTCACAAAAGGGGCTACTGTGAAAGAAGCCCTGACCTGGCTGCATCTGCCCCTTCCCTGTGTGCGTGGGCACAGAGACATGGCAGTGCCAGTCTCCTCTTCCCCAAAAACCCAGTGCAGAAGGAATGAGGGCAGTGGGTGAGACCCACCTAACTCCTGCTTTTCTCCAGTCCCATAGGCGATTCCTATGCACCTGGTTAAAGGACACATTATGCCCAGGTTTCCCTCAATGTGCCCACCCAGAAATCCGGCCGGGATGTATTACTCCTCTTGCACGTGCGCTGTGCAAACTGTTGGTCTGGCCAAGCACAACTGACGTGATCTTCCCGGGATGCAGCAGAGTCACAGCACGTGCTGGGATCACTGCTGCAGCACGCTTGCAGTAGTTCTGACTTGTCTTTGCCAGGCTGGATCTGCAGCCCGTGCCCTATCTGGGTACACTGGCCTGTCTGTGCCCTGAGCAGGCACAGGACCCCCTCGGCCAGAGCAGAAAACCGCTGCAGCAGCTGGGAAGTCAAAGCTGTTACGGATTGAAGGGGAAGGGGCTGCTGGAAGCTGGGGACCATGCGACAGCCTCACAGCCACGACCCCACCTGCATGGACAGCACTCCTTCCTTTCCGTACTGACCATCCCGTTTCCGTCAGCTTTTCAGGAAACTGGCTGTTAAAACCTATCTTAAAACAGGAGTGGTAATTAGAAAACCTGGTCATTTAAGTCAAGTTTAACTTAAGCCTGACAGTTTAACTTCTGATGCTTAACTGACAAAAGAACTGAGTTTAACTACATGTGATAGCTTATTTTAACAGCACTTCAGCAATCTGTCACATTCAACCCAGCGGATCCAGGCTCTGTTTGCATTTTTGGGCTGGCAGCGGCTCTCAAGCTGACGCAGCCCAGCACCCTCTGCAGAGCACCGCCTGTCCCCTCCGCATCCTGCAGCAGATGCCTGGAAGTGATGAAACATTAGAAGAAAGGAGCACTTGCACATTTCTTTCCGGTGATGTTTTCTCCTTTTCTTTTTTCCCCTCTTTTTCTTTCTCCTATTCCATTTTGCCCTTCTCTCTTCAACACTCATCCTCCGCTCGCTTGTATTCAGCACAGACTGTAATCCCCATCAAGCTGCATTATTCGTTGCAGTATTGATTAATATCTTTAATATCCTGTTTTCAACCTCTGGAGCTAGCTTTTGAGCCATAAATAGAAGATTGCTTGAAAATGGATGGCTGTGAACAGGGCCTGCATGCAGCTGTTGGAGGGATGACAAAGGGCGCAGGAGCAGAGCTCTGCCGAGTGCGGCCGTGGAGGACCTTGGAGATGCTGCTCAAGAGGCGAACTGACGCAGAAAGGAACACCATCCTTTCTGAACCTCGCACGGGCGAGGCCAGCCCCTGCCTGCAGGCAGCTCTGCCTGCCTGCCTGCTTGCCTGCCAAAGGGGACCTGCCAAAGCAACTGGGGATCTGGCAAGGGAAGCAAGCACCAACGCCTAAGGTGACACTGCAACCTGGGTCAGACCCACCATGGCTGAAGAGCAAAGCCACAGGGAAAGAGCAGAAGCGATGGGGCAGAAGCAGGGCTGTCACCCCTCACCGCCCCCCCGGGAATTGGCTTGAGCTCAGGACAGTGTCTGGGCTGCGGCCATCGGCATCGGGAGTGCAACTGAGGCCGAGCAAGGGTGATGCTTTGGTGCTTGCGGAGCTTAAAACCACTATTTGAACTGAGCAGGCAGCAGAGCAAGCCTGCAGGTTCATCGAAAAACCATCTGCTGCCCTTGCTGCCCCCCTTACCTCCCACCCTCTAAAGGAGGGGCACGGAGCTGTAGGAGAGGCTCACAATTATTTCAGGGAAGAGGCTGGTTGAGAGCAAAACCAGACAGGACATTGTGTTTTGGTGAATTCTGGTACAACCACAGACTTGGCCACACTGCTGTGCACTGCAGCCGGGGAGGTTGGATGCTGGTGGAGCCCACGTTCTCCTGTCCCCAGAACCCCAACAGCTCCCTGGTGGCACTTCTCAGGAGCCCCTGGCCCTGCAGGAGCTATTACGAGCAATATTACAACTGCAATTTTTATTCAATGGAAAGCAGGGATGAGAATAGCACGTCCTGGAAGTCCTTATATTGCTGAGCTGCCTCATGCCAATGCGAGGCTCGGTTTCCTCTGGCCATGCTAAAGGATGAACAGAGACAGGTGCTACGAAACAGATAGCGGCGTTTGTTCATTCATAAGCAATTTGTTCAGTAATACCCCGAACACAGCTGCAAAGCAATGCGAGTACAGGAGTAACCCAACACTTTGTTTACAAAGTCTCAGCAGTTGAAGATATTATATCCCCTGCAGAGGTATCTCTCAGTCAAATCAATATCACGAGCACAAGTGAGGAAGAGCTGCGAAGCCCCAGATTACACTCCCATTTTGTGTAACATCTCATATACAAACAGCAATGAAAAGCCTGTGCGGGGAGTTAAACACTCTCCCTGCCATTCTAATGGGAGGGAAGTGACTGTGCTGTAAGAAGAAAGGTATTTGTCCTTTATACAGAAGCTCAGTATCTATAATAGGAATTTTTCTCCTGCTGCCTATTACTGCCTCCTTACCCGGCGCACTGGGACACCGCTCTCAGGTTGGAAATACTGCTCACTGTAAGATTATCCCCTTGGCCTCCAGTCTGGCATTCCTGTGAAATGCAGGCACCAGCAGCATGGCACACCACCACGAAAAACACCAGTTTGTGTAGCATTATGGACTGTTTTCTAGCCAGGAGGACTCATAGCAGTGCCACAGGCTGGTGGGGACAAGAGGGCCAGAACAGGTTGGGTACCATGGAGGAACAAAAGACTGCAAGGGCAAACCACCCCAAATCTTCTGGGTCTGTATTTCTCCCTGGTGGAGAGGGTAACTTCCCAGCAATGAATGCCATCACTCGACCAGCTGGAAGGGAGGGGCGGGGAGATAAGCTGCTTTGGTTTTTCCCCTTTTCTTTTTTTCCCCTCTAGATCAGAACCTTCATTTTCTTCTGATACTTCAGTAGTCCTCATATGGATGTGAAATTCCACTTCATCTCCTTCTAATAGCTCCTGTTGCTGTGTTCAGCCAAGCAAAGAGCTCCCTTCTCTGCTGGGCAAGGCAAAGCAGCACACGGAGACAATGTCATGTCCCTGTCAAAGCACTGTTCCTCTCACCAGCCCTTCACTGCAGAGGAATAGGTGGAGGTTTCTCTTTTGCTTTTCTTGTTTATGTAACATTGGGCAGAGGAGCCTCAAGCTTTAAGGAAAGCTGGTGCTTTTTCATAAATCCAGATGGATGAAATGCAAGGGAGCTAAAACATGTGAATCAGCATATGAAGTCTTGGAGATCTGGGGTTCGTGGCCCTGCTGACTCACAAAGGCGGTCCTCTCCTCCCTCTTCTTTCTGTATAGTCTTGCTAATGTCAGTACCAGATGTTTACACCATGAGTTTTATTTTCTCTCTTTTTCAAACTGCAGCTTTGACTCTCTCCTCCTCCTCCTGAGCAAGTTGGCTAGACATGGTCTTCCTAGGTCTAAGGAGCTGAGCGAGTGCGAGGAAGGAAGAGGAAAGGCTCTCAGGAGAAAATGACCTTCTCAGGACAAAGCTCCTCCTGACAGTATCATGACACTGGAGAAGGTTTGTCTCACTGACCTGCTGTGCCCTGGCCAGGCTGTGCCTGGAGCCTGCCACCAGCATGGGGCTGGGAGGTGAGCCTAACCCCCTCATCCAGGCATTTGGGCAATGGTGAAAGCAAACCCAGGTCCTGAGGACATGCATGCCCTGCAGAGAGCAGAGAGCCAGGCAGCTCTTACAGCAGGCAAAGCCTCTGCTGTGGGAAGTGAAATTTCATCCACACACAAAATCCCACTGATTCTACTAGGTCCTTGCCCAAGCTTGGGAGCCCTTCCAGCAGCTCTCGCCACTGAGAGCCACTGCTGCAGAGGGCTATCGGACCTCTTCGTGCTTGCTTGGAAGGGGAAATAACTCACCTGTAGTTATACTGGAAAAGCTTTTGATAGATGGCATGGGGTAGGGAGAAACAGGTTGCCATCAGCCAGATAACAGAGATGCTCAGCGCTCCCTTCGTTAGCGACATCCTCTGCTTCAGTGGGTTCAGGATGACCTGCAACAGAGAGTTCACCATGACTTTTATTGCACAGGAAAGCAAAGTCCCTCCACCAGTACACACAGCAGAGGCATTTTTTGACATGATCTAATGCTGTTAAGAAAATTACAGCCATGATTAGGAAAATGTCCTGCTTATTACAGTGACCTGGAAAATGGGAAATATTGCACTTTTCAGTCTTCTCAGAAGTGCTTTCAAATAAACTTTTTCCTCTATTTTGTTCTGTGAGGACCATTTTCCTTAAATTGTGGGTTACATTAGGTAGGAAAAAAAGGATATCTACACAAGTCTCTTCACTTATGGGTATGCCTGTTTATTTTGTATGAATCTTTTATAAAGAAATGTCTCCTGTTCTAGCTGAACCTATGAAGCTGAGCCCCCTGCCTCGTTTCAGGCACTAACTCACCTTTTATGAAATTTTCTTTGTTGAAAAGGTAAAGAGCTTATAAAAATCTGAGAGTCTGGAAGATACTATTTGGCTGATAGGAAATGAGAGTGATTGCTAGAGATAAGCGTGTGGCCTGGGCTGCCCTCTATTTCCTGTACTGGTAAAGCAGCAAGCGTTTGTCACAGTGGGCAGCTGACACAGCCGGGCTGCAGGCAGACAGTGGGTACAGTCTTCTCACAGCTCTGAAGTCTCCTCCCAGTATTTCCAACAGAGACTTCCCGCTCTGCTTCTCCCCTTTATACTGGTCCAGCATTAGTCCCATAGTTATACCACGGGACTTTAGTCTCAGAATTCCTTTGTACTCCAACTGTCCTGCAGTTTGATGGTGTTGCAAATACCCAATGGGAAAAAAAGAGCAAAAGAACCAACAGGCAACTAAATCAGAATTTAAGCTCAGGATGCTACAGACTGGTGTTCTGTGGGGTTTGGGTGGTAGACTAAAAAGCTTGGAAAAGTTCCCTGTACGGCTGAAGTAATGCTTTGCACTCAGCGTCGGCTCTGCTGTCTTTCAAGGCCCCCCATGGCTCTTGAATCAACTTGTCCTGCCGTACTTGTGGGCTAGGTTGGACCTGGCTCTTTTCAAACTACCTGAAAAAGGTGTCCTCACTCTTTTCCACTGAAAGCCTGGGAGTGTCCTGTGAAACCTGTGATGCCGCATTTTGGGTTTTCTCTCCTGCCCCGTACCTGGGAGCCTACAGAAGTCCATCAAGCCTTCCTACCCCTGATGCACGAGGGGCGTCTTGGAATTTAGCTCTAGAGCCTTCTCACTGGATGTAGGTTTAATCCCCAAGATTCAGCCCCCTTGAACCCATGGCTCGACCGAGACTGACAGGGGCTTGGGAAGAGCCTTGCAAGGGAACGGCAGGCAGGCAAGGTTTTACCTGGTGCCTGTCCAGGGCAATGGCCGTCAGGGTCAGTGTGGAGACGTGGAGGGAGCAGTACTGCACGAAGCGGCTGATGTGGCACATGGCTTTTCCAAAGATCCACGTGCTGTTCACAAACCGAACCTGAGGGGAAAACAACAGGTCATCAGCCAGCAAATGTACTGAAAACAAATCCACAGGGAAACCCTTTGGATTGCACCTGAGCTGGCACATGGGTTTTGGCTGGCTGGGCAGCTCCACCTGAAACCCAAAGAAAGATTAGCTATGTTGGATTTTGAAACACCTTTACATAAGAGTTTATAAGGTCAAAACCCACAGAGCCCTCCTGGCCTATTTGTATAAACACTGTTTGTGAACAGCGGTAATAACTTTTTGATTATACTAACAACTGTATTTGGAAAAAGTGGACCAAGTTTTGGTCACACCCCCCCCCCCCCCCCTTCAGGGCTGGCGAGCTTTCACTGAAGACTTTACCCAACTGGCAGCTCTGAAAAGCTTAACTACTTTCTTCCAGTCACCCGAGTATGAATGGCATGCGAGTTGTTTTGACCCACTAAGTTTTAAGTGTGACTCTCTAGTGCTCTCCTGCACGTATGTTAAAGGTACATGTTCCTCCAGGCACTTATTCTGCATTCCCCAAGAAGCTCTTGCTGTGGATTGGTGGCACACTTGGGGAGACTTTAGAGACTTTTAGGAGAAACAGAGTCTAACGGAGCAAAGGGAGCCCACAGGTTGCTGAACAGCATTTTACTTGCCTGGCAGAGTTGTCTATTAGACTTGATTGTGTTGGGTTCACGCCTCAGTCCTAGAAGAGCATGCACAGAGAGGGTGTGACTACCAGGCACAGCATTCTTGTGAGAGAGTCCCCTCCTGGCTGAAGGGACAGCACAGCGGGCCACTTACCAGGGTAAAAGGCGTGTTGAGCAGCGTGATCATAATGTCAGACACTGCCAGGTTGACGATGAAAAGGCTGGTGGCTGAGTGCATCCTCTTGTTCTTCAGCACCACGTGGCACACCAGCATGTTCCCAAAGAGAGACATGATGATAATGACTGAGTACGCCACGATTAGGAGAGCTTTCACTGTTGATTTCTGGGATTCCGGCTCGTATTTAGCCAGCTCGGCAAATTTCTCCCACTCAACAATGCGGCTGTCTGTCCAGTTGAAGGTGGTCCTGTTGGTTGCTTGGTAGATTGACATGAGTTTGGCCAAGGACGAGTAATGGTCTAACTCCTCAAGAAACCCCGTCATTTGTGACCTGTGTGACTGAAGCAGCAAGCGAGGCATGGTGGGTTAACCCGAGTCTTCACTCAGCTTGAGGCTGCTGTGATCACAGCTCCAAGCTGATATAGCAAGTGATCCATCACATTCAACTGCTTGGCTCTCTGGGAAGCTGGCGAAGATGCAGCTGCTGTTACAAACACCACTTTAGAACGGAAAGCTGCAGGGAGCCTCTGAGGTGCGGTGGGTTCCCCGGGGCAGAGGCGGCACTGGGGAGCAGTTCCAACGGGCACGTTGGAAAGGGGCTGTCAACCCCTTCGTATATCAAGAAGAGCAATAGCTCCATGGGCGGGCTGGAAGGAAGAACTAGTTATTACATGTAGCAAATGTAAGAAAACCTCAGGTGGGAGTTGAAGTTCTTTTAATCCCACATCAGCTTTTTCTTCTTTGTTCTCACCTGAGTCCATTTTTCCTCCAAGTTCCACAGAAGGCTGCGCTCTTGGTGCTTTCATCCTCTACTTCAAAACACCCAGTTCTTTTCTGTTGAAATGTAAAGGCAGAGCCATTTGAGGGATCATTTTTAAAAGCAGAGGTAGCTTTTGTCAGCATTTAACCCCAGCAATTATCCTAAAGCAATTCAGAACCTGGAAATCACATCAGAAAGTTGACTTTAGTCTATCTCACATTTTCTCCTCCAAACAACTGAATTCTGCTTCCAGTGTTTCAGTTTCAGCAAGAAAACGGTCTTTCCTGCAAGAGGCGAGACTTAGCAGTAGAGGCATGCAACTCACGGAGGAGCCACTTACACCGTATGCAAACAAACCAACATACAGGCGCTAGATACACAAGAGCAATTCCCTAGAGACAAAAATCTCTGCCTCCTCACCTTTACCGCTCTCCATTTTCAGATATTTCTGGAGATTTTAGATTGCATTGATCCACTGATGTTAGGTGGAACCTATTAACTATGCACACTGGTATTTACAGATATGCTACATACGGGAGCAGAAAGTAATTTAGAAGCTCTGTCGGGTTCTCCGAGAAGGTGGTTGGTTTGTTTGGTACACGCCATTCCCATCAAGTCCCGTGGCTATGTGCACAAATCAATGGACCTCACATGGTGTGAGGGATTAATAAGCAGAGCTTGCAGAGCACTAAAAGCCTCCCTGACACCTTCCCACACAGCAGACTGGCAGGCTACCTGGGGCAGCCAGCTCGCTGCATGGCAGGTGGTGGCCTGAGGCAGACCCCAAACCAACACAACGCTCAGTCACGGTAGTCGCCTCGGCTGCAAACACCACCAGGAGTCAGAGAGCAACTCTTTTCTGATGGAAATAAGGTGCTGGGCACTGTGTGTTTGTACCCATGCATTCCCATAACACAATCTGCTTTGGCTTGTCTGCTTACTCTGGGGAGCGTCGGGAGTACCGGGGGACCTACAAGGGGATGCCTCTCAAAAGCAAGTGGATGTTAAAGCAACTCGGTGGGGTGGAACGAGGGAGGAATCACCCAGGAGACAGAGAGAAGAGCAAATCTTGAAAAGAGGCTATGGCTATTTCCTTGGCAAATTTATGAGTGAAAGAAGCCTGGGTGGGACAGAGAGCATGACAAACACTCGCAGATTCTGCTAGAGCAAAGCAGCTGTAATGCAGCAGGCAATTGAGCTCCTTGTTGTTCTCCCAATGCTGATGGTATTGGGAGCATCAGGACCAGCCCTAGACCAGGTCCCAGTCTGACTCTCTCACAAGACATAAACCTGGGGAGCTGCCGTGAAACTGGGAGCAGAGCTGAAACTGGGGAAAGGGATCATTCACCTTGTTTGAAAAAGATGGTTGGCACACGGGACTCACTGCAGAAAAACATCTCAGACTAGAACCTTGGCATGAGTCAGAAAGGACTTAATGCTTACACAGGTAATGAGAGAATTCAGAACTACATCCCTCTGGGCTTCTGGGCTGGGAGAGCAGATGGGCACTGAGGGCCTTAACAGCCCTGCGATGTTTATCCCATGCCAGGATAAGGTGCGCAGGACTCAACACCTCTTTATTGTCCGCTGTGGTATATGATGAGGATGTCATTCCTTTATGGTGCACGGCAGCTCTCAGTGGGCAGTGAGAGGGACCTACGGGTAATGCAGCATGTGTGTAACAAAGAAATATGATTTTAGCCAGCTCCAGATGAACCACTTTGAACAAACACAGCTGGGATATTCATGCTACAGAAATGCTGTCACTGAGCTTGAGAGAGGATGCTATGGTGTGACAGATGAAACCACCTATTGCCCTCCCTGCATCAACTTACATTAGGTTCTCATGTGGAGACTTGTCTTTGCTGCCATCAGATGAGGCCAAGTTTCAAGAAACTGCTATAATGCATGGGTCAAATGAGATTTGCAGTCTGTATGCTTCAGTCTGGTGGATGGCAAGAAGAAACCTTGTACAGATTATTCAATTTTAAAAAGCCCAAAATGTTTTTCTCAATTGCCTGTGTGTTTGAGAAGCCTGTTTTTCAAGGACTACCTGTAGGACCTGCACTCTTGAGTAGCTCACACTGGTCGGGGAACCATGGCCTTAAATGTGGATCATGAATGGGGACATCTCTTCTTCCTTGCTACATAACAGCCTTTTCTCTTGTGCTTGTGTCCAGGCCCCTGTACAATCAAATCAAAAAGCTGATCCATCTGAAAATTAAATAAAAAGTGTTTTCAGCTGGATCAGTTTCCTGACCTGACCCACTGCATGGCTGAACCTTGTTCTTTCCAGGGAAGGCTCTAGGAACAAATCATAGAATCATAGAATATCTTGGGTTGGAACGGGCTCATAAGAATCATTGAGCCCAACACCCTGCTCCTCACAGGACTACCTAAAACTAAATGATATGACTAAGAGCGTCATCCAGACGCTCCCTGAACTCTGACAGGCTCGGTGCCATGACCACTTCCCTGGGCAGCCCAAGGAGAATGGAAGAGCTTAAGGTGATGGAGCTATAACCTGATTTTCTAACACTGAATTTCTCCTCAGACCTTTCTATACCCAGTAAAACGTTACTTTCAGTAACCGTCGAAGCTGTTGGCGCTGGCTGCTGCCTTGGACCATGCCACAGGGGCGGCAGAGAGGACTCGCCTGTTTTCCTGAGAAAGGGTGTGTATAAACGCAGGTTATCCTGATGAGTTGAAATACTACGCCTGCATGCAGCAAGAATGTCTACCTTTCCGTTTTTATAACAATATAATATGAAGGACCAGAGAGGAAGAGCCTACCTCAGTACAACTTTTCGCAGCGCTTCTAGCATCTGCTTCGCACAGTCTGGCTGAGCACTCCAGCTGCTTCAGCAGTCCTTTCCTCCCGACGCAGAACCGCTCACCTGCCACCCCCACACACTTTAAGGACCTCTTCCCTACAGCCGTCTGCCGGGCGCTCTGAATTCTGACTAGAAACCAACGTTTCACCCCCTGGAGAAGATAAATCTTTACATAACAGCACGGACGTTGCGAGCACAAGTTACACACAGTTTCCCAACAAAAAAAAAAAAACAAGGAGAAAAAAAAAAAAACAAAACCAACCACCCAACCCATCACTTCCCCCGCCGCCGTCCGGCCGCTTGCATCCCCCCGGTCCCGGTCCCACGGGGCAGCAGCGGCTCCTCCAGCTCCCCTCACCGAACCACACCCACCCGCCTCCCCCCCCCCC